GACCAAATCTTGTCCGCCATCTTGGAGCAGCCATTGTTTTTTAATTCCAACAAAAATTCCATAATGTATTGTCACCGAAATTATGAACACCTGTCAAATTTCAAGTTAATCGGAGTTATGGAATTTTTGTTGAAATTGAAAAAAATGGCTGCTCCAAGATGGCGGACAAGATTTGGTCCGATTCCATTCAAAATTGGTAAGTGGGGGTTTTTGAGGTCGGAGATCATGATTTTTTTGTTAAAATTTATCAATTCGAGATGGCAACTTCCAAATAATTTTTTGATTTTGTATAAATGACGATAACTCCGTTGTTATCAACACAAAACTATTACTGCGTTACTGCGACATATCATCTGTAAGAGGAAAAAAAGTTATTTGAAACTAAGTCATAGTGAGCTATGACCTACATTTGAAAAACTAAAGTTGGTGCTGATATCTCTAATTCTAGAAGAGTTGGTATCAATTTCATATTTTTTTCGAAATCACTTTGAAAAACTGCCATCAGAATGTGAAATTCCTATTTGAATATTTTCATAAATAAAGAAGTTACGGAGGAGACATGAAAATGATCAAAATCTGTTTTTTGCGTATAAAACAAGAACGAATAGATTTTATCAAAATATTTTTCTACATTATAGTTGGCCCTGACAAACTCCACATTTGGTGTCATTTAACCGACCTCGTATCTCTCACCGTTAAAAAGATACCCATGGTGAGCATGGTAAGTGGGACACACTGTATATCAATAAAGTAGTTCACCTATATATATGAAGCCCGAGTAAATACCCCGATATTTCTTTTATATCATATAATAATAAACTAATAAACTATTCAAAAATAGTTATTTATGATACAAGGGGAAAAAGTAGTAGATTTTAGCTTGAGGTTGTGTTTTCTCCCGACGGGTAGCGGAAGAAGACAAAAAACCGTGAGCTAAAATCTAATGTTTCCCGTGTATAATACCCTATTGTTTTCTGTGACAGGAAAAAGGACCAATTTATATTAAGAAAAAAATACATTATATTAAAATCAGAAAGTTATCGACGTGAAATTTGAAGTTTTGAACAGGAATGCCATGCACCTAAGTCGCAGGCATCTTTATCATTCTTTTGAAGTAATCAAATATCTGTCAGTCTATTTCTGTAATTTTATTTTGAAAAATTGCGAACTAATTAAGTGGTTTTTTCGCAAATTACGTAAACGCGAAGTGGAATGGAAAATGAAAACTTTACGCCCGGTCCTGCATAAACAGTATTTGATTTTCACATATAATATATAATAATAATAATAATAATATTATTAATGTCGTAAATTGAAATTTAGAAATCGACCTCTGTTCCAGGAGATTCCTCATAAATAGATATAAGTTCGGCTAAAAATGAATTTATATTCAGTTCATTAGAAAAGCACTGAATTTTGTGGACCTGGTGTTTTTCTTCTGGAAACTACTAACTTCATGTCTAGTTCTAGTATGAACCAGAAACTTCACAATGATAATTTTATCAAGCGAAATATACCGAATACTCTCACTACCCCCGCCCAGCCACAATCCAATAATGCAAATATTCAATTTAGATTGTCGCCAAGTGAATTACGTGCAGAATGGTGAATGGTGATCCAGACAGTATTCATTGATAAGGGACAACAGTGGCGTAGTAACGGATTTTTCTTAGGTGGAGTTCAACATATACGGACATCGTAGTCTCAAAGTCAAAAACAGCTTCATTGTTCAAATAATCTAGATTTTTTTAACAAAGCAGTCGAAAGTACCGAGAAAGTACGAATATAAAACATAGAAGTTTGATAAATGGTAACAAAAACTACAATTATCTCCGATACCTACATTTAATAAGTTCCGGCAAGTGATTGAACTTTTATTTTGAACATGATATTATGAACATGTTCCGATATTGCTGACATTACTGGCTACAGTAAGCAATTCAGAAACACTAAACAGTGCCATTAGCTTTGAATTTTCATCTCATTTCGGAACGGTTTTGGCAGTACTGGTACACTGGCAACAAAACATAACCATATAACCTATGATCTTTCGATTTTCGATGTTTTTTATTGTTGGTTCATATTTTCATCAAGTTGAAATGATTGATGGAGTGATTAATCATATTGTCTTAGGAATACATATTACTCGATAGTGATTCCGATTCATCAGAAACACCAAGCTCTAGTACTTCTAGTTCCAGTGATGAAGAAATGAAACATATAGCTGTGGAATATTTGATATCAAAAGTGAGAATAACGAACCTTCTTGTAGATTTTTGGCAGTTTGATAATAAATAATTTTTATCGACTTATAGGTACCTATAACAGTTCATGAATATACTGCCAATACTGGCACTACATCATCATTTCTGCATCAGTGTCCTATCTTGCAATGAACCACGAAAACGTTACCAGTAAATTTTAGTAAAATCGGAAAGATGAAATATACTGGACAGTATTGTTTTGGGAATATCGGAAAGATGAAATATACTGGACAGTATTGTTTTGGGAATATCGGAACATGCTTTATGAGTATGAATTTTATTAATTTTGTGCATAATATTGGGGAAAGAAGAATTAGTTCGTTCGTTGAATCTGAGGGTGGTGAAGTTTTATTGTGTTTGTCCAGTTATTATTTTTATTAGCTTAAATTTCTCATATCGTTATTCCGGTTCAATTCGAAAACGTTGTAGACATTAAAAAAATACAACAGAACTATTATACGCACCCAGCTAACAATGCGATGTCGCATGAACATCTATATGACATCGCATGAATACTGCGACATTGAATCAAGTTGTCGCATAGACATCACGGGGACGTACTTTTGTCACACTCATTTGGATGTCGTATCAATATCGCACCGCGATGTCAGAGTAGTATCGCACCGCAATGTCTGAGGAATATCCCATTTTGATGTCCCTGATCTATGACTATGTAATGTCAATGGTATATCAAAAAGTGATGGGAAGTTCATTCAAAGTGGGGACAGTTCTCAATATACCTAATAGATGGTTCAATGCAGAATGAGATATGTTGAATTCATTGACCCAAGATCTCATGGATATTAAAAAGGTATCAAAAACTTTCAGAACAGGCTGTTCTCTAGTTTCCTGATCGAATCATCATTTTCTCATTGTGTGAAAACTCTCCACCAATCTGATGAGTATCAATCGAGATATCAATAATTTCCTCTTCATCACTGGAGTCATCACTATATAGATGAACTTTCTTTGCTAAACTGATTTATTGGATTTATACCCAATGTTATATCTGTGTTAAAATATATATTTTCGATGTCATTATTTATCAATCGTCTCTTGTGGCGGTAGGAAGTACTAGAGAACAGTCTCTTTGGCATGACTCCACAAAAATGAATAGGGGTCCCAATACAATCATATAAATTCAAGTAATGGTATATTATACAAAAAGGTATACACAATACTTACTATAATGTGCTATAATTTGATCCAGTTTCAAACGATGAAATTAATCCTAATCTAATCACATTAAATCAAGATTATTAATTGCTGCAAAATTAGTTGCTTGCAGGGAAAACCCCTAGTTTATTCAGTCTCTTCTGTCACCTTCTGTGGTTTAATAAAACATACTGTGATAAAACGCAAGGAGACATTTACACGTCTGTGTGACATCATTGGCTGATGTTCAATTGAGGTCCCTAATAGAGGTCACATCAATATCTTTATATTTTGGTGATATCCCAGAGATATTCGTGCACATATAAAAATTGGGGGGATTTTTTCCTTCATCATCTCCAGATTCAGCCACCACTGAATTACTCTATATAATCAATTTTATTTCATCTCATAGAGCGTAAAAAGTTTTGTATCTGCGAGAAATTCCGTTGATTTACCTCAAACCGTTTCGAACTTTCCATCAAAAACCAATATTCAGACTCGTAATTTCAACACCCTATATATCTCGAAATCGAAGCGTTTAAAAGAATAAGTTTATAATAAATATTCGAAATTTAGAAATGATATACTATGCTTTAGTTCAATCTCAATTAGTTTATGGGATATTAGGATGGGGTGGAGTGAAGCAGATATATTTGAGAAAATTGGAAATTGCACAAAAATGGATTTTAAAAATTATTTATGGAAAAGATTATTTGTTTCCAACTGAACTTTTATATAAGGAATCTAAGAAAATGGATATAAATCAACTCTATATTTACAATTTACTGATTCATATTTTCAAAAATAAAAAGGACATTCAGTTTAAAAAACATATCTATGACATAAGAAATAAAAATAACATAACATTGAAATATAAAACAAACAAGTCATTTGGACGTAGAAATTTTAAATTTTCAATTCCTTACCTATATAATAAAATTCCAAATGATATTATAAAAACAAAATCACTAAAATCCTATACAATAAAAATAAAAAACTGGATATTAAACTCCCCTAAAAATTATTTTATTTCTTTAATTAACATTTAATAATATCATTCGATGAATTTTAATAATAATTGTGAATAAGTATGTATGAATATAAATAATTATGCGTATTGAATGAAATGCTGCGTACACTATATATTATGAATTGAATACTTGTCTCATTTCTTAATGAGACAATTTTCAATTGTGATAACTTGATATTGTTAAATATTTATTGACCTTTGTACATTTATTTATTTTTTATCCTTACTACAAGGTTATAACTTCGTAAGGTTTTTCCCAGTTTATTCAAATTACCTTTATGTTTATTCCAATGTATATTTCTCAAACGTTTTTGTATAAACTTATATTATTATTATTAATAACTTCTTTATTATTTTAACGAGAACAACACACTGTTGAATTTTTGGTATTACAAACCGGACCACCCTGTATTTTCCAGTAAACTTAGTTGATTTGACTTCAATCTTGGGCTCTCATATTATAACCATTATAACTACGCCACTGACGGAGAGATGGGGTGCTGTGGCTGCTGCTGGGGTGTCTGGTGACCTAGAAAAAGGGAATAACTCACCCTGTTTGGATGTCGTAGATGACGTACTGCGCCAAATAGGAATGCCTGAACAGTTTCTGCACGTTCACGGCCAGCAACAGGTACCGCTGGTCCGGTGACAGTTGATATCTCGAGGGGTTCAAACGCAACTGAAACATTTCATTTCATTTTTATCGATGAAAAAATTAGAATCGAAATGAAAAATTTTTTCGTGAAATTTCTTCGTTTTAGTTGACCATATTTTACATGGAAAGAGCTATGCAATAGGCATATTGTATTATTAGGTATCGGTAGGATCACCAGGATGGTATTAGATAAGAGTTCGGACACAGCTGAACTCCTGGCCTTCTCTTCTTTCTATATTACAATGGTTTGAGTGAATGAAAGAATAAGACATATATTATGTTCCTTGTCTTTTCATTAATTTTAGAGGTTAGATTTCCTGTCAAATCAATCATAGCCGTAGATGGAAAATAGGAATAGGGTACCCACTTCAATTTATACGGCACTTGTCGCAGAACAACAGTTATAAAAATGAAAAGAATGCATGTAATAACATTTCAATGACAAAATAGACACATAATATCGATATACTTTTAGCTATTTCGATAGGTATTGAAAACACCATTCAATGATATATTGTCACGTTGTAATTTACTTGATTTCCTCAGTTTCGTTCTCAAATTTTCAAATTCATTTCGTAGTTTTGCAATCAATTCCTCTTTCTCCATGATAGTTTTGTTTCAAATTTCGTGTGAAATGATAATAATGGATTCTCTTTTCAAATAGTCTGTGTGAATGAACTGAACAGCAGATTCTCTCAAACGGATCGTAAAATCTTCTGTTTGAAATGGGCCTAAAATATAGTTTCATATTCCAATCTGCTGTTATGAGAAGTGAATTTTAATGTATGTACATCACAACATCTGCTTGTCTTCAAATTAATTTTCCATCCAGGCCGTTTCACACATTCCTTCCAAAAGAGAATGGTTGATATTGCCTTCAGATACATTTGAAAATAGAAATTTGTGATAGCTCATAGTTTTTGGGCTATCCAAAAGTAACAAAAAATGAAATAAAAAATCCAAGTCCGTATTGAAAACAAATAAGTTAATGATGGTTTCTGGAAGACGAAACGTTGGATTTCAAATTTGAAAACGTTATCTTGTAGGGAAGAAGAAGTGGCCATGATAAAGTGTTATTCATATCGACTGATCTCTTCAAATAACGCCAGGAAAAAATTAAAACGGTTTCATGAAATTTGGATTCTTTTCGGATATCTCCGAAAGTATTCGGAATTTTCAAGTTTCAGAACGGCATACTGTAAGCTCTCTACTGTGCTGTTAGGCATCAAATTGAGCAACTTTGCCAGAACTTAACCGACCCTGTATCTCTTACGGTTTACGAGATCCCAATGACGAGGCTCGAATTCCAACCACCCTGTTCATCACGATCGATATAGCGTTATCAAAATTACAAAGGAAATAATGATTTTGCAGTCTTATTGGTACACCCATAGTTATTCCTTGAAAAGGCAGAGCTACACACGAAGTCTGAATAGGCGATATAAGATAAGTGTAGCAAGTGATAACAGTAATTTCAAACAATCATTCAAGGAAAAATCGATATTTCTTCCATAAAAGTTATTGAATTTCTTGCTAAATATCTAGCCCGATATATGACTGAATTGAAAATAAAAAGTTCTTTAAGAACAAAAAAGTTAGGGATGGTCTCTGGTACCTAGATTGTCTGACGACATGATGTTGATTCGATTTCATTGTCTTGAGAAAGCTTTTGCTCCCATATATTTCACAATTTTTTTATATCTGCTGGTCTGAACGTTCTGGGACACCCAGTATATATTCCAGGAATTGAACATTTCACAACGTCAAATTGTTCCGGAGCTAACCTGATTCTGACCGTATGTGTAAGGATGAATAATTTACGATCGTCGCTGTGTCTGATATTTTTTTGCTAAATATGAAGAAAAATCCTATTTCGCCTAATATTTTATCGAGATATCTTGATGTCAAAATGTAAAATGACAATTTCTCTCTGTCGTACATCATTGCCGAAATAATTATTCATCATCACAAAAATATTCTGTAAACTTGAGCAAAAGTGATATATTTGCTAATAAGGTGTCAGCAAAGGATATGGATGGAAGAAATATTAGATATCCATTTCGAACTGTCGCCGATTCGTCTTGATTAAATATTGACATAAGGCACCGTTTGCTCTTTGCAAAGATCCCAAATCCAATTATTGTACGACTCCAGCTGAACACAGAACTGCAGAAGGGAATTAAACGAGAATTGGAAAATGCGAGGAAGGGTGAGTGTTATTTCACGTATACTCACGTAGGTGTGATTGGACATGAGCGTTCTCATAGATAGATTGTGAGCGTTCAAGATGCTTATACCTCCCCAGTGGTCTTTGAGGATCAGCTCATTGTCTGAAAGAGAATGAGACCTTGTTTAAACGAAGATAAATTGGACTTTTCTCGAATATGATCATTAAATGACGATTCCATGGAAAGTATCATAAAAATATGACCGTTTCAAAAAATATGACCGTTTATAATAGTAGATTGTTTTATTAGGATCAAAAGTGACACTTTGTTTGACAAGCGAATTTTGCATTTGCGAGGCGGAGCGTTCAGCGAAGCCGAGCGAAAGCAAAATTTGCGAGTCGAACAAACTCACTTGATTCGAATGAAACATATGCTATTCTTTCTGCAACCGAAACAATTAACTCAAATAAACATGTGAAGTAACCACCAATGCCGTGCCATATATGTATGCAATGCAACAAATATTGACAAATAATTCATGTGGTGAGAATATTCTACCTGCATTAACAGCAGGTTAGGTTTCCTAGGATATTCAAATTGTAGTTTCAATATAAATACAACCACAGAGTGACATATTCGTTTATGGAACAGGTGCTCTAATGGCAAATACCGCGCCAGTGCCAGCTATATAGGAACAAGACGTGGAAAATGTTAGGTTAGTGAGCATATCAACAATGATAATAGTGATTAATTATTCCTCTCCATACTACACTGTGTTTGACTTGATAATCAAATGAAGCGAAACAATATCGTTGTTTGAGACAAAAAAACTATTGCTTGCCGTGATTATTCAAAAACAAGTTATCCATCCCGAGAATAACGAATGAAATACAGATCAAGCAAGTATTTGAATCTTGAAGGCTTCCCTGATCAAAACAAAAATACTTAACTGAGATGTTTATAATTCCAATACTGAACTATAATAAGGTGTATTTATATCTCCAGCATGGGTATGAAATGCCAAATCTGCTGAAATCGGAAACAAATCATCAGGTATGCGTCTCAACCCAAATACCCAACCGTCACAATGTTGTTTTTTCTTGATGATGTCCAGTACGTTCTTTTTAGTTCCTAGGAGCAAAAGTTCAACTTTAGCTCCTAGGAACTAAAATTCAGCTTTAGCTCCTAGGAACTAAATATGTTGCCTAGCAACATACCTATTTTTGTGTCAGTAATAGAAACGTCAATTTAAGAGCTAATTTTGGTATCAAAATGGACGACTTTTGTGTCGGTTGCAGAAAAAATACTTTTTTCGGCAACCGTCACTTCCCGGACGCTTTTTTTTTTGAGAAAGTAGCATTTTTCCGGCTTAGTCCGGGAAGTACGTACTGTCCATATTTTCGAATAGAGCTCGTTGAGTGCTATATTATAGAATTTTTGTTTTTGAAAACGGTCTACGGGTTCCAAATTAGGAGGGTGGTGCGGAAATCATTTCATATAAATATGGAGATTTCAGAAAATATGACAATTTCATGAAAATATGACCGTTTCATAAAAATATTATCGTTTTATGAAATATGACCCTCTCATAAAAATATGACCATTTCATAAAAAATATCACAATTTCATAAAGATGAATTTTATGAAAATATGACAGTATGAGTTATGACAGTCATAATAGTATGACCACTTCATAGAAATATGGCAATTTTATGAAATATGACCCTCTCATAAAAATATGACCATTTCATAAAAAATATCACAATTTCATAAAGATGAATTTTATGAAAATATGACAGTATGAGTTATGACAGTCATAATAGTATGACCACTTCATAAAAATATGGCAATCTCATAAAAATACGTCGATTTCGTGAAACTATGACCGTACCTGAGACCCAGGTGCCGTTGAACCGCAACGGCTGGAAGTCGTGGCCGAGGACGTCGTGCAGCGAGAAGCGGGCGCCCTTGACGCGCGGCCCGTCGTCGGGCGGCGTCAGCAGCACCACCGACGTCACGATCAGCGCCAACACCACCACGATCACCAGCAGGGCGATGAGGATGCCGCGCCAGTTGCGCTGCGTCGTGTTGCTCGACACCAACTGCGTAATTAGTGCGTATACGAGCAACAGGTTGTATAATAAGATATGACCGTTTCATAAAATTATGACCGTTTCATAAAAATGTGATAATGTGATCATTGAACATGTCAAGTCTGTTTCGAAACATCTGAGTTTTTCACCGTTTTAGGGAAATTTTTATGTGACAAGAAGCAAAATATGACTATAATAAAAATGATGACTAAAAACCGAGCTAAAAACCTTCCCTAGGTTGATCGAAGAGGGGGATTATTTGTTTTTTCTCCTCATGAAATATGCTTGAAGGAGAGGCATATGAATCATACTTAATTGTTAAAGAAAAAAATATTAATTTCATCATCTCAAGAAATATGACGATTTTATAAAAAATATGACCACTTCATAAAAATATGTCCATTGATGACAATTTGACCGCTCAAAAAAATGTGAAGGGATCATGAAATGATGACTTCTTAATGCAAATGTGATATTTTCAAGGAAATCACCTCATTATAATGATATGGATCCAATCATCCAAATCGAACCATATGATTTAGAAAAAATGGTAATTTCATTGGAAATATGTCAGTTTAATTGAATATAATGATGATATTTTCAAGGAAATCACCTCATTATAATGATATGGATCCAATCATCCAAATCGAACCATATGATTTAGAAAAAATGGTAATTTCATTGGAAATATGTCAGTTTAATTGAATATAATGATGATCTCAGGAGAAATGGCGATTTGGTAGTAAAAATAATGATCATTTTATGGAGGTATGACTATTTCATGAGAATATGGCCATTCATAATAAATAATATGACCGCTCAAAAACAAAATTGAAAACGTCTTTATAAAAATGTGAAAGATACAATTTTTCAAGAAAATCACCATTTCATAAAAATATGACCCAATCATCAAAACCGACTTTTGATATAGGAAGAATGGAAATTTTCAGCTATAATTGCACTAGTGCATAAAAATTACCGATAATTTTGCAAGAAAGCATGTTATCTTATAATTGCAAGTTTATTTTCATATTTTGGCGGAAGAGCCAAGTCCAAAGGAGGGGAGGGCTCTTTTAACAAAATATAAAAATAAACGAATGCAATTTGTATAAGATAACACGCTTGAATGCTAAATCATACTTTCTGGGATAGATCAGATTGTATGGAGCTAGTGCCTTCCGGGACGCCACTGGACATAATAATTTTGATATAGTTAATGTTAAATTAGCCCTTTACGACCTTGAATAACACTGCCAAATTTCAATAAAATCGGTTGAAGGATATTTACGAAAAAAACTATTTCTTTTGAAAATTTTGACACCCTGTATCTTGAAAACGAAGCATTACCGGACCTATGTTTATATGAACTTTTCGTCTTAGAATCACCCAAAGAATCACCCCTTCAAGTTTGGCCACGTACTTAAATAACACCCTGTATAATATCATAATGTTTATATGAAACTGATGGTTGTTTGTGATGAAATGTATAAGAACTAACGTATAGTAACAACATGTGCTTTTGTAAATTTTGAATTTGCAAGTATACCTACATAATATTATATGGTGAACTGTTGATGAATGATTTTTATTTATTGACTTATAGAATGAACACGAAATTGAAAACGAAATCTGAAATTGAATGAAAATGTAATTTAACCTATAGAAGATACGAAATACAGACATTAAATTGATCGAAAATGTTTGATGTGAAATTTTCACTTATAATATCACAAGAGCTTCAATTATTTCCGGAAATTTTTTCGAGAACACGAATTTTCTAAATATTCGTGTCCGAGAAAAAATTTCCGGATATTAATTGAAGCTATAAAGTGGTATTTGGTAAGAAAATTTACATGTTGATGCTTATTTGTGATGGAATGTAAGAACTTAAGTATAGTAACAACATATGTTTTTGTAATTTTCGAATTTACAAGTATACCTACATAATATTATACGGTGAACTCGAAGGTGAACTGTTGATAAATGATTGTTATTTATGGACTTATAGAATGATTTCGAAATAATCTGAAGTCTGAAGGAGCGGGAAACAATTTCCAAGAAATTTGTTTAGTTGCTATGGTAACGATTAGAAATACAGGCTTTAAATATTGATCGAAAATGTTTGATGTGAAATTTTCATGTTAATTGCGTGAATGAACATTTTTGCCACTCACTTCGTCGTCAAAGGGATCGTGGTCGGCCATGTCACGTCAAAATTGGCCACGTGTCGGAAAATCAGCTGAGTCGGACGTCCGGAAAATCAGCGGAAAACACCTTCGACACTCTCATGTCAACCGGTTGCGTTTGTCCAATGATTATTTTCGTCCGATTAGAGCCATTACGCTCGCCCACAGACAACGCTGATGTCGATATGTTGGCCTGAAAAAGAAAAACTGGGTCTTTGAAGTTATCATTTATCGATGAATTTAACACCAACAGCGTTATTTTCAATTTTCCGCATCATATTATGTGCAATTTATAGGCTAGAAATTTGATATTGTTGATTTCCACTAGAAATAGATATTTACGTAATCAGTTAGGAAACGCGTTGTTTTGTGTAACGATGGGATTTTGCGGGACGAGCGAAGCGAGATCCCGCAACATCACAGAGTTACACAAAATGGCGTTTCCTAACGTGTCACGTACAATATTTTTTCTAATTTTGACGAAACATTTCGCATGAACAAAAATAATGACCAGTTTTACATGAGTTCTGCCGACTCTTGTTGTGTGAAATGAATTAATGAAATGAACATTACATCACCAGTTATGTAAAATTTTACTTTACGCAACTGGTTACGTAAAGTAAGACGTTTCAAAACTTCCGTCAGTTTTGAAAAGTGTCACATTACATGTCAAAATTAGAAAATAGATATTTACGTAATCAGTTAGGAAACGCGTTGTTTTGTGTAACGATGGGATTTTGCGGGACGAGCGAAGCGAGATCCCGCAACATCACAGAGTTACACAAAATGGCGTTTCCTAACGTGTCACGTACAATATTTTTTCTAATTTTGACGAAACATTTCGCATGAACAAAAATAATGACCAGTTTTACATGAGTTCTGCCGACTCTTGTTGTGTGAAATGAATGGATGAAATGAACATTACATCACCAGTTATGTAAAATTTTACTTTACGCAACTGGTTACGTAAAGTAAGACGTTTCAAAACTTCCGTCAGTTTTGAAAAGTGTCACATTACATGTCAAAATTAGAAAAACTATTTTTTCGTCCACCTTTACAAAAAATCACATTTCACGTTCTAATTTCCAAATGAAAAACTGACCATTTCCGATTCGCGTGATAATTCTCAAAAAAATAAAAATTTCCGGCAATAATTCATTCTTTAGGGGGATTATAAATGAAAAAAAATGCCATTGAGATCAAATAATAATGTAAAAACTCCACACCAGCTAGTGAGACCTATGATCACCTACATAGCTGTAGTGTGGCACGGCAGAACCGAATTCGCCACTACAAGGAATAATATTAGAGAAGGTGCAAAGATTGGCATGTCTTTTCATAACAGAAGTCATCCGGGTAGTAGATGTTAAAACAGCATCAGGGACATTCAAGAGGCCATTGGTGAAATTATGTATTCTTGATGTGGAACCAAATGGAGAGTAATGAACAGCAGTTCATCACTGGGAGGGAGTGTTCCTGCGGAAAGTTTATATTTTTTGGAATAAAGTAGATTCATATATAATTTTATCATTCTGTATAATTTTGTTGTGATTGAAGGTTGTTGTTGAATGTCAGTAAAAAACTCAAACATCTGTCTTGTCTGTGCTGATATTTTTCAAGAGAAAAACGGTTTCAAACCAATGCCAAACTCCGAAACCTAGTGCAAACGCACACACAGGGTGTCTGTAAAAGGTTGGGACATGGCTCGGCTGTGGACTCCTGGGAAAAAACAAGTTGATTTAGGCCAACTTACCTATATCCAAAATCATCTCGTTACGTTGTTACAATTCGTTGATGTTTTTTTGGAAAAAAATAATTTTGCTCATAAAAAGAGTAGGCTGAGATCGATTTTCATAATTTTTGGCATGGCATGTTCTGTGACTGCAAGTCACGTTATGAGATGTTTTTGATCATCATCAGTGACCTGCAAGTGTTTCAAACAACCATGTTGCCGTACAAATTTGGTGACAACTTTTCAGAGGTCAGACTGGAAACTTCTTGTTTTTTTTCCAGACAGATATTCCCTTCAGAAATATTTTTTGTATCGTGTTAATTTTTGATATGTCTCGAGATTCATTTGCATATAAATAATTTCTGATATGATGCATCCTGTGCATTTTTCAAAATCAATCTAATTAGTCGGACTATTTATTGATCATGTCAACAATGTATTCTTCGCGGGCTTCACAAGAACTGTCGCGTAAAAAATTTAGCGACAACTATTCGGGGCCTAAGGTGAGCACTTTAACGCCTTGTATCAACTCAACGAAACGATTTTGGATATTGGTAATTTGGGTAAAATCAACTTATTTTTATCCCAGGAGTCTACAGCCAAGCCATGTCCCAACCAGATTATTTTTCTAAAAAATGCATAAGATGAATCAGATCAAAAATTATTTATTTGCAAATGAACCTCATCGAGACCTATCAAAAATTAACACGATACAAAAAATATTTCTGAAGGGAATATCTTTCTGTAAAAAAAACTGGACGTTTCCAGTCCGCGACCTCTGAAAAAATATCACCAAATTCGTACAGCAACATGATGGTTGTTTGAAACACTTGCAGGTCACTGATGATGATCAAAAGCATCCCAAAACGTGACTTACAGTCACATAACATGCCATGCCAAAAATTATGAAAATTGATCTCAGTGTACTGTTTTTACGAGCAAAATTATTTTTTTCCGAAAAAACTTCAGCGCCTTGTACCAACTCAACGAGACGATTTTGGATATAGGTAAGTCGGCATAAATCAACTTGTTTTTATTCCAGGAGTCCACAGCCGAACCATGTCCCAACCATTCACAGACACCCTGTATATCTATGTCGTTTACCTTTAGAGATATCCTTAGCTTTTTTCGATCAGTTTATATGCCAGAAAATAGTATAATCAGTATGCTATACCAATTGTCAATTTCACATTCAATCTCATCAATGCATGCCTGACCCAAATTAGTCTCGCAAAGAGAAAAAACAATACACATCAAAATAATTGATAAAAAGATGACTACCCAGCAACAAAACTCTCCATCTTACTACCACACATCCATTTCTCTCATAAATTATGTTCCACCCTCCACTCACCGATATCCAGATATTCCATCCCTCCGATCCGAAACCAAAAAACTCGTGGCACGAAAGACCGATTGTCGCGGACCGACCTCGGGCGCCACGACGTCCTTTTACGGGGACTGCGCTACCAGGACTGGCCGCAGCCGGAGCCCCGTGAAGGCTCTAGGGCGCAGACGCGTGTCCGCAACCCATTTCGTTATTTCATCGGCTACCCAGCTCCGGCCAGGGGCGCATAACCGATTCGATCTAGGGGTGGAAATGTATTTCTCTTTGGGAAAGCCAATTTTCCAATGGTCGGCACTCGGCAGTACCTATACCCAAATAAATGTCAGCAACAGGTACCTCCTCTAGTTCAACAGGTTTAACTCTACTCTCGTGAATAATCAACAGGTATTCACTGAGAAGCTGATAACTGTGGAGGTAGACGATAGTTGGTATAGTGGTTGTCATCAAAATATCCACCGAATATATCTAGAATATATAATGATAATATATCGACTTTATTCATCAAAACCGAAAAAGGTGTTTCACCTTTCTGGACCAGCGCCCAATAAAAAATTAATTACAGTTCTCAACACACTAAATGGACCACTCATAATTTGACTCTATTTCGGAGACCTGTATTTTTTGAAAAAATTGACCGATCTTCATGCCGTTTTCGATATCAGATGTGATGTTTCATCGGCTTCAAAGAGAGCTAGAACACTCTGAAAAAGTCCGCAGAACAAAACTTACACAGGGTGTAAAGTGGAATCATTACACTATGGTTTACATTCCCAATGCATTTTTTTCTGATCAAAAGTCAGTCATATTATGATACACTGGGACCTCATCTCGGGACTTTTTCGTGATTTCTCCTTAATTGGCCATTGGAACAAAAATTCGATTTTTTTTCGAAAGTCTTGCATTTCTTGAATTTTTTCTCTAGAACTCCACTTGAGCTGCATATTGGGAAGAAGTGTTCTCATGTTTTTTGGAGTACAATGAAAGACGAAGAAAGGACAAAATCTCATTTCAGTAAAAAAATCAAAAACGGTGACTGACACCATGGTCCTTTCGATTCAGTATATTCAGAAATGGCCTTCTCGATATCCATTATTTATATTAGACAACTAACTAGACGTTTTAGAAAATTCACCTCTAATTGCAGGATGAAAATTTTCAATTCAAACTCGTTTTCTGATATCGATGATTCTTATCAACTGATTTCCAATATTTATTGCCCAAGTATGAAACACAGAGTATTGTTGTTCAATATACTGAGTGTTTCACAACTTATCTTACAAATATCAACCACAACTACGATATTACATGAAAAGTCTATCACATGAAAATTTTATAGAAGTAAAACGAGATGGAAAATAAAATTTATAACATTTTATATCCACTAAAACTATTCGAAATGGGCTCTATTGGCGCAATTTGACATTAGTGAATTCTTCAGCATTATGAAGATCCAACTAGAAAGTCCTATATCCTGAATTTCAGTATTTGGTAGGGCCTCCCGCTGATTTAACAAAACCTCATCAAATCGGTTTAGCATAGATTCTATGAGGTTGTTGATGAAATCTATTGATATTGCCTCCCATTCTTCTGATACAGCTTGGATAAGCTCTCGCCTTCTCGATAGGTTGAGTGCCATTCTGCTCCACACATGTTCAATCAAATTCAGATCTGGAGATAATGCTGGTCACCACATTCTTCTAACATTATTGTTTTCTAGAGTTCGTAATTTTTCAGATAAGTTGTGAAACACTCAGTATATTGAACAACAATACTCTGTGTCTCATACTTGGGCAATGAATATTGGAAATCAGTTGTTAAGAATCATCGATATCAGAAAACGAGTTTGAATTGAAAATTTTCATCCTGCAATTAGAGGCGAATTTTCGAAAACTTCTCGAGTAAATAGAAGAGAAGGCTGTTTCTGAATATACTAAATCGAATGGGCCATGGTTTAAGTCACCGTTTTCGATTTTTTTTTACTGAAATGAGATTTTGTCCTATTTTCTTATCATCCTGTATATTCCACAATAGTGCTTTTTTCGTCTCTCATTGTTCTCTACAAAACATGAGAACATTTCTTCCCAATAGTCAGCTCAAGTGGAGTTCTATAGAAAAAATTATAGAAATGCAAGACTTTCGAAAAAAAAATCTAATTTTTGTTCCGGTGGCCAGTTAAGGAGAAATCACGAAAACGTCCCGAGATGAGGTCCCAGTGTATCATAACATGGAAATGTAGACCATATAGTGTAATGGTTTCAATTTACACCCTGTGTAAGTTTTGTTCTGCGGACTTTTTCAGAGTGTTCTAGCTCTCTTTGAAGCCGATGAAATATCACATCTGATATCGAAAACCGCATGAAGATCGGACAATTTTTTCAAAAAATACAGGTCTCCGAAATAGAGTCAAATTATTAGTGGTCCATTTAGTGTGATGAGAACTGTAGTAGATGTGAATATTTTTTGCTGCCGTTAGATCGATTTTTCGCCCATTCCTTCTTTGTTATGCCACTGACTTCTTCGCATGACAAACGGTCCCAATTTCGTGGCTTGCCATCCTGCCGGCGCGTTCTCAATTTTTTTTCATTGGTCTGGCAAGCACTTCAGACTTCAGGACAAGTGTGTGCTGCTCCTTCTCTAAATGAATAGGAATAGACTAGATTAGAGCAGTCCTTCAGAGAAGAGTGTGAGTTGTGACCCTTCACACAAAGAAAAATGTATGCTTTCATTTGCATATATGTATATTATGTTCTCTGATCTTATGATGTAGATTTTATAGATAATGAATATAAATATGAAACAGTGAAAGTCAAGATAAATATCTATCTTTCTACAAATGACATCAGAGTTTAACTTCATTATTTCAGTGTCTATTCAATTTTTTTTGGTGAAAAAAATAACGACGTCGTGTAAGTATATATACATATAGTGATGACCCGTTCATCAGCTACGCAAATAAGTTGATGTGTTCTTTCCCCAAAAGACTTTCTCCATGACATTGCACATTATGCACAATATTTCAGGTCATAACTATTGCTCAAATTTCTTATCGAATATTATTCCTAGGGAAAATCCTAGGGAAATCCATCAGAGGCAATTGCACCCTCGTAATAAAGTTTACAGTTCGGTGTGGAATATATTATATTCAAAAGGATTTATGGTCCATATTTTTTTGAAAACGTAGTTGGTGCTGCAATCATAGTCATCAATGCTGTTCAATATACCGCACCATATGTTATTGGAAAACCCCTTCGTTTCTTTTGCGCCACCCAATATATGCATGCAACGTTCCAAGCACGATGTTCCAAAAGCATTGTCTACTAAATATTTAGCAGACAATAATGTCCAAAAGTAATAAAAATTGATCGAATCATTTCGGTGATCAAAATTGACAATGACTTTGGGTGAACACATCAAAATGATGGATTCTTTTGGACGAGCCAGCCGCGGCGTTAAATCTTGTGCCACAGTATATTAATTATCATTTCACAAGGATGATATATACTGTGCTTGTGCATTTCTGCATAGTGAAACGATAAATAACTAGTCCTATAATGGAAGTACATAGAAAAATATCATATAGGCGTATATGCTAGTGAAGTTGATGAATACGAGCATAACAATAATATCCTATTTTCGCGCGGGTTTTGTAGCTACAATATATTTTCTATCGTATTCTTGTGTTACCAGTCACTCTAGCCGTAGATATCTCAGCATACAAGAGAGGTGACTAATCAATTCATAGTTTTTTATTTATTATATATTATAGTCACAATAAAATGTACTATTATATCATCAGCGGAAACTCTCTCATCTAAAATTGAATTTTCCCGCCCTAATCAAATAACCTCTTGCCTTTGTGACACATTCCAGGAGACATGAAGAAGAATTATTACTGTGTAACTTTGGTGTTCCGTGTTTTCAATCTTCTTCTGATTTTTTAATATCCATAAATAAAAGTAGGGTTATGTTGTTTGTTTGTTTTGATGGGATTTCACGATTTCAGTATTTCACTAGACTGACTTGACTCCAAAATACCATCCAGTGACTCTAGTCTCCAATAAATTCAAATATGTCTATTTCGCTTTGAATTATATAAATAATGAAAAATGAGATGTGTACACGTAAATATCCGAAAAGCAACTTTCATACTTCTCACTATACTCATAAATCGTATTCAAATGGGTATGTTCCCTCTTCTTTCCACACAAAACTTTCGCAAACCAATTACTTCTGAATTTTTCAGTGGATAATGAAGATATTGTCAATATCCATAGGGATATCGAAAACGAGAAGAAAAATACTAGTATGGCCAATCAAATCATCAAGACTACTCCAGTAAGTGTTTACCACATTCTTTACATCTAATAACACCATAATGCTTCAGGAGGATAAGATACTTCATTGCCCATCGAATTTAGATTGCAAAGTTCTAGATGAACCTTGCATTGAATGTGAATTGAATCCCAAGTGTAGATATGGTGAGTTGGTGAATACCACTTGTCACACCAAATCCCAAGTGAATAACTGCAAGGTGAGATGATCCCAATACAATGTGAATTTTTTTGATAGTGTCATTCTCAGGGCCCCCGAAATTTCACAAGGAGCTTCATATGCAGGTACTGCTATCAAACAGATCACTGGGAGCACACCTGCCAACAAATGACCAATTGTGATTCTGTAGCATCTCCTAGAAACTACTACATCACCAATTGCACTGTCAAAGGGGATATTCTGTGCCTGGGTATGTAACTCCCATTATCATCACTTTATTGGCAACAATGGACCTTTCCAGTATCATGAAATCTGACCTATTATTCCTATAATGTTATAAAGGGAAGTCAAAAACGTTATCCTGACCACATATTTATGGACAAAATAGACCAATATTTCAAACCTGTGATATCAAAATGCTACTGAGCTGTTATGTCAGTGTCTCTTATTGCAATTTGATTGGTTGATCTATGGTTGGAGTTTGTGATGGCTGGAAAGTACACAGCTGTCACCAGGTCTCTATGAAATCTTGAATTGATCTCATGTGCAAGATAGTGCAAGGAATGCCATGATTTGAAATTACTATCTAGCAGGTGATTAGTTGATTGGTGATTCACTAGTGATCACATTCCATTTATTTTGAACTCGAAAATATTCCATTAGTTTCAAGATAAGCTAGGATGAAATGTGATGCAGGTATATGATGTATGGTTTGAATTATGATTCTGTTGACTAATTATTTTTATAATCAACAAATTAAACACTGTTACTATAATTATCTCAACTACACATTTCCGGAAAATTTAATTGCTAATGTGGCAACTATGTTTACAAGAGAAAAAGACAAATGAGATGAAGCAACTGGTGCTAAAACAATGTTGCCAAGTTGAAATACCGTATTCTTGGCATAACTTCACTTTTCTCAATATTATTGACAAAAAGGCAGTGATGCTTGTACTAATTACTAAAATCAATAAAAAACAGAACCCAGTAAGGAATTGAGCATTTATTAATTCAAAATGTGTTCCTTTAGGTGAGTACCTGAACTTGAAGTATACTTTACTGGAAGGGATTTGAAACTGAATGTCATGAATATCTGCACTTTAATTCAATACAAAATGAAATTTAACTTACAATTTTGAATAATACCCTGACAGAAATCTACCTTCTAACTAATTATGCAGTGTAACTTCAATACCACGAATTTTCAGGTATAGGTATTATTGAGTTATCTAACAGCATCTGTATTTTTTGCAGAATTGAAAAAAACCACGAAATGAATATCCGACGATTCATAGCTTTCTGTCCAAATTGGCATCATTGTCAAGTCCATTTTATGCATTTCATTGGCGCCCGCGAGAAGGTGACTACCAATCCAAGATGCTCGCGCACTGACGTCACATGTTTCACGGCAACTTGGGGAAGTTTTCTATATTGAGATGTGAATTTTGTAAACAGTTAATTGTATACGTATTTTTTATTTTTTTCGTAAGATCAAATTTCACTTCAGAAAAAAAAGTATAAAAGAGGAACTTGGCTCCTCACCATTCCTCTGACGTGCTTTCTGACCGGGAATTGTTCTTTTAATGCATAATAACTATATCATAACAGCAATGGGGTTCTTCAATCCTACTTTGTCAAGTATTATGAATAATTCCCATGAATCTCTCATTGGCTGAATGAAGTTGAAGATAAATTATGATATTTTGTGATAGTATCTATAATTTTTCACTATCGTTGTATTGCAATATGTTATTCATAACTTGTCAGTCATTTTTTTGCTAATGGATTAGTTCCCTAATGAAACGGATCTATTTTCTAGAAAAGTTGGAGATTATATCTTGCAATAACGCCAAATACTTCGATTCCGTCTACACCACTCAAAAAACTGACAGGCACCGGAGCCATGGGTGTCGGTTTCATTCTGTTCTGACCGATGACAGTAAATTAGGAAGGATAGTATCATTGAATGTAGCCGATAGTGATTCATTGATTCAATGATATTTTCGTATAGGATCGACCTCTATTCGAGATATTTCAATGCATGCATAACAAAACCATAACCTGTCAGAATGAAGCTAACTACCCTCTGCATTCCTGCTTCGAGTGCATTTGTGGTTATGTATGTTTTTGTTGAACAGTTTTACTTCTTCTATTTTTTTCAATCGTTTTCAATTCGTTATATTCTCCACCATCAGCTATTTTCAGACTAGATTCAGAATTTACGTCATAGTTTGCCGCCCCGAGAATCAGAAATTGCTTTAATTTAAATATGAAAACGACTTGGACTTTATCGGTCGCCATTCTGTACAGCGTGGACATGAAACTGGAGAGTTCCTAACTTATTTTCATCTGAAGGAAACTTCCCCATATGATGAATTGATGTAAAAAATTCTCAAAAAATCAATGCAGATCCATATATTCTCTCGTTTCTAGGGAACAGAGAGTTCAAGAAGAATGTGCAATGCAACTGGACCGGGGGCTATCGATGGGCCACCACTCTAGCCCTCAGCATAGCCCTAGGTGGCTTTGGAGCTGATAGATTCTACTTGGGCCATTGGCAAGAGGGCATAGGCAAATTGTTCAGTTTCGGAGGCCTAGGCGTGTGGACGTGCGTTGACGTCATTTTGATATCACTGCACTATTTGGGGCCAGCTGATGGGTCTTTGTACATTTGAAGATAGGTTAGGTTAGGCGGTTAGGGCATACATTGAGGTGGAGAAGGAGACATGCAATATTCAATTGATAATGAATGTGAGATTTCAAATAAATATAAATAGCTGAGGAAAATGTACTGGATTAAAAAACTAGAATGCCCATGTTGAAGGATCTGTCGTTGATATTGGAGTTATAGGAGGATCAATGGGAGGATGCAAATGAAGCAATCATGTATATTTGTCTTCATTTTATTCAAATCGAAATATCCCGAAAACGGTACACAGTATCAAGTTTTACCAAGAGTACCTTTTTAGTGTAAAATTGAATGATGTTCAAGTTCACATTTAATTTGGAGTGAAAAATCTAACCTCAAAAAAGTTATGTTCAAAAGTACTCGGTACGAACCGTGTAACTAGCGCCCTCTATGATTGTCAGATATACAAACAAATTCATGGGATGTGCCAGCTTTCTAAACACATTCACAAAAAAATTTCATTACAATGTTGCCAGTAGTTTCAACATAATCGTAAAAAATGTGTAAAAAAAATATTTTTTCAACACCTTGTATCTTGGAAACGGATGACGAAACATGTCAAACCAATATCGTTGATTGGTATATTACGCAAGCATAATATATCAATCAACGCCAATATGGATGTCTCCATCCTTCACTTTCCGTCCTTATAGATCAAAAAAGTACCCCTCATTTTGGACCTATTTTTGTTGAGATGGGCCATATATAGAAATAGTACATATATGGTGATTTTGACAGTGGCACTAATTTGCATGAGTCATTCCAGTGTTTACTATAATTCTGTGGTATAATTCAGTGGGAAAAAAGCATACAAACGTTTCATAATTTTTTTTTATTCACAAATAATATCACCCCATTCAACACAAGACACTTTTCTGACTAATGATAATTCAATAAATTAATCAATAAATATATGTGGTTCAGACTAGTTTGCAATACTAAAAAATTGTCCTAATCATATTTTTCATCAAAATGGAATCTTTCATTTGAGCAAATTTATATCACAAATTTGGTAACTTCAGTAGTCAATATTTGGAATTTCATTTCACATCTTCATAAAACAAAAATAAGTGTAAAAATGGCAGGAATTGCTAGGATATATTACACCAACAGTGTTGCTGGTAAATATCACAAAATGAACTGCTCATTTCAAGGAACAAATGAATTTCAATGTAATTTTTTTATTAACTAGCTCACCAATTGTATCTCTTCTAGTATGTATTCTTGTAATTCTTCATCAGTTATGGAGTCCATCTCATCTTGTGAAATCTGAAACAAAATAAATATATTTGGATCTACACTCTAGCAATAAATTGAATATTCTAAAATGCTTGTACAATTTCAAACATAGATTTTTGTCCCTTGACATTGTGAGAAAGTAACCATAAACATACCACAATCACTCCTTCATCACTAGCATCCAAAAACCTCATCTTGAGTTGCATCAGCCCTGATGGGACTCCCTCAGTATTCTTCATTGTAGTATACTCATCTAACACCTCTATATGCACCACCTTGTAAATTTTTTTCTTGAACCCTGTTATCCCTAGAATATTCAATCCTGGAATCTGACATCCCATTTCAAACCTGAAAAAAAAAAAAAGAAATGATAGGTGTAATTTGGCCATTAGCAAAACATTAAAAAACCTTTATCATTAAACCATTGACTGGATTGGAAGAATTGAGTCAACAATTATGATAGACCAGAAACACTACTTTCCATTCTGGTAAAAGTATGTAAGAAAATTTTTGCATTTTTCAGGAATTTTACAATAAAATTGTCAGGAATTTTTGAAATTTTTTTCAATTTTCAGGAATTTTTGCAATTAGAGAGAGAGAGAACATCTTTATTAGGGATATACCCCAAAAGGCCATTGACCGAAGTCTTTCAGCCCTTTGCAATTATTTTTAGTAATTTTTGCAATTTTCAGAAACTTGCAATTTTCAGAAATGTTTGCAATTATTCCAATTTTAAGGAATTTTTGCTAATTTTCAGGCATTTTTGCAATTTTCAGATATTTTTTCAATTTTTGCAATTTTCAGGAATTTTTAGAAATTTTTACAATTTTCCGGAATTTTTGCAATTTTTGCAATTTTCAGGAATTTTTGCAATTTTTAGTAATTTTTGCGATTTTTGCAATTTTCGCAATTTTCAGGCATTTTCTCGATTTTTGCAATATTCATGCATTTTTGCGATTTTTGCAATTTTCAGGAATTTGGGGATTTTAACAATTTTCCGGAATTTTTGCAATTTTTGCATTTTTCAGGAATTTTTCCAATTTTCAGGAATTTTTGACATTTTTTCAATTTTCAGGAATTATTCTAATTTTCAGGAATTTTAGCAATTTCTACAATTTTTGCAATTTTCAGGAATTTTTGCAACTTTGGCAATTTTCAGAAATTTTTGCAATTTTGTGAAAATTGCAAAAATTCCTGAAAATTGCAGAAATTGCAATAATTGCAAAAATTCCTGAAAATTGGAAAAATTGCAGAAATTGCAAAAATTGCAAAAATTCCTGAAAATTGCAAAAATCGCAAAAATTCCTGAAAATTGTAAAAATTGCAAAAACTCCTGAAAATTGCAAAAACTGCTGAAATTGCAAGAATCGCAAAAATGCCTGGAAATCGCAAAAATCGCAAATATTCCTGAAAATTGTGAAAATTGTAAAAATCGCAAAAATTCCTGAAAATTGCAAAAATTTCTGAAAATTGCAAAAATTCCTGAAAATTGCAAAAATTGCAAGAATTCCCAAATATTTTAAAAATTCCTGAAAATTGCAAAAATTGTAGAAATTGCACAAATCGCAAAAATGCCTGAAAATTGCACAAATCGCAAAAATGCCTGGAAATCGCAAAAATCGCAAATATTCCTGAAAATTGTGAAAATTGTAAAAATCGCAAAAATTCCTGAAAATTGCAAAAATTTCTGAAAATTGCAAAAATTCCTGAAAATTGCAAAAATTGCAAGAATTCCCAAATATTTTAAAAATTCCTGAAAATTGCAAGAATTGTAGAAATTGCACAAATCGCAAAAATGCCTGAAAATTGCAAAAATCGCAAATATTCCTGAAAATTGTGAAAATTGCAAAAATTCCTGAAAATTGCAGAAATTGCAATAATTGCAAAAATTCCTGAAAATTGCAAAAATTCCTGAAAATTGCAAAAATCGCAAAAATTCCTGAAAATTGTAAAAATTGCAAAAACTCGCAAAAATTGCAAAAATTGCGGAAATTGCAAAAATCGCAAAAATGCCTGGAAATCGCAAATATTCCTGAAAATTGTGAAAATTGTAAAAATCGCAAAAATTCATGAAAATTACAAATATCGCAAAAATGTCTGAAATTTGCAAAACTAGCAAAAATAGCAAAAATTGCAGAAATTCCTGAAAATTGCAAAAATTTCTGAAAATATCAAAAACTCCTGAAAATTGCAAAAATTGCAAAAATTCCCAAATATTTTAAAAATTCCTGAAAATTGCAAAAATTGCAAAAATCGCGAAATGCTTGAAAATTGCAAAAATTGCAAAAATTCCTGAAAATTGTAGAAATTGCAAAAATTCGTGAAAATTGCAAAAATTTCTGAAAATTGCAAAAATTCCTGAAAATTGCAAAAATTGCAAGAATTCCCAAATATTTTAAAAATTCCTGAAAATTGCAAAAATTGTAGAAATTGCACAAATCGCAAAAATGCCTGAAAATTGCACAAATCGCAAAAATGCCTGGAAATCGCAAAAATCGCAAATATTCCTGAAAATTGTGAAAATTGTAAAAATCGCAAAAATTCCTGAAAATTGCAAAAATTTCTGAAAATTGCAAAAATTCCTGAAAATTGCAAAAATTGCAAGAATTCCCAAATATTTTAAAAATTCCTGAAAATTGCAAAAATTGTAGAAATTGCACAAATCGCAAAAATGCCTGAAAATTGCAAAAATCGCAAATATTCCTGAAAATTGTGAAAATTGCAAAAATTCCTGAAAATTGCAGAAATTGCAATAATTGCAAAAATTCCTGAAAATTGCAAAAATTCCTGAAAATTGCAAAAATCGCAAAAATTCCTGAAAATTGTAAAAATTGCAAAAACTCGCAAAAATTGCAAAAATTGCGGAAATTGCAAAAATCGCAAAAATGCCTGGAAATCGCAAAAATCGCAAATATTCCTGAAAATTGTGAAAATTGTAAAAATCGCAAAAATTCATGAAAATTACAAATATCGCAAAAATGTCTGAAATTTGCAAAACTAGCAAAAATAGCAAAAATTGCAGAAATTCCTGAAAATTGCAAAAATTTCTGAAAATATCAAAAACTCCTGAAAATTGCAAAAATTGCAAAAATTCCCAAATATTTTAAAAATTCCTGAAAATTGCAAAAATTCCTGAAAATTGCAAAAATCGCAAAAATTCCTGAAAATTGTAAAAATTGCAAAAACTCGCAAAAATTGCAAAAATTGCGGAAATTGCAAAAATCGCAAAAATGCCTGGAAATCGCAAAAATCGCAAATATTCCTGAAAATTGTGAAAATTGTAAAAATCGCAAAAATTCATGAAAATTACAAATATCGCAAAAATGTCTGAAATTTGCAAAACTAGCAAAAATAGCAAAAATTGCAGAAATTCCTGAAAATTGCAAAAATTTCTGAAAATATCAAAAACTCCTGAAAATTGCAAAAATTGCAAAAATTCCCAAATATTTTAAAAATTCCTGAAAATTGCAAAAATTGCAAAAATCGCGAAATGCTTGAAAATTGCGAAAATTGCAAAAATTCCTGAAAATTGTAGAAATTGCAAAAATTCGTGAAAATTGTAAAAATTCCTGGAAATTGCAAAAACCGCAAAAATGCCTGAAAATTGCAATTATTGCAATTTTCAGGAATTTTTGCCACTTTCAGGAATTTTTGCAATTTCCAGGAATTTTTGCAATTATTGCTGTTTCTGCAATTTTCAGGAATTTTTGCAATTCTTGCAATTTTCAGACATTTTTTGCGATTTTTGCAACTTTTCAGGAATTTTTTGCGATTTTTGCAATTCTCAGGAATTTTCAGGAATTTTTGCGATTCTTGCAATTTTTACAATCTTCAGGAATTTTTGCGATTTTCGCAATTTTCCGGCATTTTCGCGATTTTTGCAATATTCAGGCATATGCGATTTTTGCAAATTTCAGGAATTTCTGCGATTTTTGCACTTTCAGGAATTTTTCCAATTTTCAGGAATTTTTGAAATTTTTTTCAATTTTCAGGAATTTTTCCAATTTTCAGGAATTTTTGCAATTTCCAGGAATTGTTGCAATTTTTGCAATTTTCAGAAACTTTTGCAATTTTCAGGAATTTTTGCAATTTTTCCAATTTTAAGGAATTTTTGCAAATTTTTATTTTAGAGGAGTGGGATATTAGATTATTTTGTCAAAATTCGGAAATTCAAGTGAACTAAAAAGAAGTTGAAATAAATGGTAGTTTGAAAAACTGAAGAAACAAGCTTTTATAGATAGGGAAACTAAAAAGAAGTAGAAATGAATATTGAACTGAAAAAATATTTTATAGAAATAATGTATATAGCAAAACAACATTTCGGAGGTCTGCTAGTCTACAAAATTTTAGGAGCAAAGATAATAAATGTTATAGGTTTTTTGTTCTTTTACCTGTTGATTTCATGTCCCATGGAAAGCCTTTGGACAATTTTCACAATCCTTTGGAATAGAGGTCGTTTCTCCAGCTGGTAAGTTTTGTCATAGCTGACAGTGAGATCAGGATACATTTTCAAATTTCTTGAAAGTGCCTTGTCTTCATGGTGTATACATGAGAGTAGAAGGTTCAAACGGTGTTTGGCAGGAGAATTGGACTCTATCAAAAATAAATATTAATAAATAAGAATGAAAATATATGTTTGTGTCTCACCATTAATTGTTTTAATATTTGTTTTGGTCAAAGCATAAGGCACAAGTTCATAAGCATGGTAATTCAACATCCACAGGTACAGCATAATCTCAATAAGACTTGATGAGTCTCCTTCCAATTCCCCAGCTTCGAATCTGTCCAAAATATTGGGAATTATCACTGTTTTGATATCAGCTGCTTTGAGGCATTTGAAATTCAAGTTGCTGAGACTCCAGAGCAGTCTCTTTATATCTTTCAGTCTTGGTTGGTCTGGACTAGCATTATTTATTGTGGCAAATTCATTTTCCTTCAAAAGCTGGATACACCTCCTTGTGAATGCATTTAGAACATTTTCATCATAGTAGAGGAAGTCTGAGTATAGAGCAAGGATGTGACATAGTCCTATGAAGGAGTAATATTCAAGAGTTTTGTTGAAAAACATTGCACAAGTTATTGTAGATAGTAGGTCTTCATTTTGGTAGCGGTTAAGTCTGACAGTCTTCAATAGAGTAATAAACAATGCAGGATCTTTGAGTAAATATAAATTATCATTCAAGTAACTCATTACTTTATCTAGAAATATTGTATTGTCCAGATGTGTGCCAGTTTTGAATGTAGCATTACAAATTATACATAGTTCTTCAGCAGAGAGTGAGTTGACAGTGTTCTTATTGAATTTATCAACACACTTTCTCAATACTTCTGACTTGGCAAACTTCTTCATCAGACCAATATAAAATATAAGTTGTACTAGATCATTTTTTGTTAGTGTATCAATTCTATTCAATAACTCTTTGATTGCCACACCATAATACTTATGTTGTACAATTTTATTTGGTATAATTTTCATGTAAACATGTAGCAGCTCTATGATTTCCTGAGTTTTGAGTTTTCTGACTCTCTGAGAACATTCATTATCCAACATATTCAGCAATTCCAAATATTCCATCCTGTTCCCTAAGTAAGCTAGAGTGTTGAATGTGTGAAAGATTTGATGTAGATTATATTGGCGCAATTTATGGCTATTTTTGAAAATATCCCTTGCATCCACTGATGACTCAATTTGATTTTCAGACACATTTTTTGGTCTTATATAAGCTAGCAGCCTACCAGTCAGGGTAGTTTCGTCAAGAACGGTAACTTTGTCGCCCAATTCGGTCCTGTGGAATTTTTTCACGTATAGTTTGTTGTGTTTCTGAATTTGCAAAAATATTTTTGGGATACGGCATAAAATTGGTCTCATTTTCATTTCGCATCATATCACAAGACCATTAAACCTTAAACCATAACTCAAAGTAAACCTAAACAACGATCATAACTTTACTCTTTCTTCTTCTTTTCCGAACTTTTTTTTTAACATCAGCTTGTAACTTTATAGGCATTTGGCTTTACAGCCCTTACACTCTTTACACCACAATTTAATCCACCCATTATTTCTAAACAGTAAACATCATGGCAAAGTAGCATTACTAGCGAAATTAAAAAGGGAAGACGTTTAGTAATAGCCCGGGAAATGATGAGAACAGCTGATACCTGTCAAATTGGAAATATTAAAAATATGGCAGTGATTTGGAATATTATTTCAATATTTTAATAATAATATATTCGTGCCTCTTACTTTACACTGGAAATGGATGAGGCAACTATTCAAGCTGGTCTTAAACGGTATTTCAAATTCAACGAATTCAAGTCTGAACTTCAAAAACGGGCAGTAACTGAGATTTGTCAAAGTAAGCTTATAAATATCAAAAATCAAAATCACATAATCATTGTATTTTTTAAAGGGAAACATGATGTTTTGGTATCGATGCCGACAGGATCAGGAAAGTCCTTGTGCTATCAGTTACCAGCAGTATTGCATGAAGGAAAAATCACCATAATATTTTCACCACTACTAGCTCTTATAAAGGTAAAATTATTTGATAAATAAGAAATGGTCAGTCATTCAATTTTTGCAGGATCAAATTGACCATTTGATTGCTTTGAGGATCAGAGCAGCTTCCCTCAATTCCAAAATTAGCAATACAGAAAGAGAGGCACTAATTGCTGATCTCAAATCAACATCACCAAATACTAGGATACTATATGTGACCCCAGAACAAGCTGCCACACCAACTTTCAAAGTATGATCATCAACTCAAAATTTGAAATTGCTAATCCCCTGTGATTCCAGGCTTTATACCAAAACTTACTCAATTTCAATAAAATAGCATACCTAGTGGTAGATGAAGCCCACTGTGTCAGTGAATGGGGGCATGATTTCAGACCACAGTATCAAAAATTGGGAGAGCTTAGAGATAATGTGGATGTGCCTTGTATTGCCCTGACAGCTACAGCAAATGCAGAAGTACAAAATAACATTTATAATAATATAAAAAATTATATATAGATTGAAATATTTGAAAAATATAGTGGGTGTTCAATTATTATATACCCACTCAGAATATCTGGATTTTGTACATTTGTCTGCAACTTTTGATGTGATGACTATGACTATTATTTCAAACCATCTATAGGAATGCAAACAAAGAAACAAAATATTATGATGAAGAAATCTCTATAGGAACTTGAATCTTTTATGATGAAAAAATGAACAGGACATCCATCTAACATGACATCCATCTAAAAACAAAAGTGAAACATTCAGTAGGCTGTTGATTTATTTTTTTATCTAGGGAAATTAATAAACTCACATAGAATTAAATAGGTAGAATAGATTTAAATAGAATTTTCAGTCTGCCTATTATTTATCTTGGAATAAAAGAAAGTGATGAACTTTGAATCAAATTGTAGAGGAATAAAACTTATTGTCCATCATAATGTAAAAAGACATATATTTTAGAATTGTGAAATTCTTCTATCAAGTGTCATGTTTTTTTTTCAATAATGGCCCACATTTAAATAACTAGGCAGCAATTAAACATGAAAATACCAAAATACTAGTTTTCACCTATTCTTTGCCTACAGTCATTGAATTTTATCTTTTTTATTCATATTCATGTAAGTAATGGTAACTTTATAACTTTATATTCTATGTCATTGATGATTTTTGTACACAACAATGTACAGGGTGCGCCTGTTAAACATTATGAATCTTCACTTCATATCATCTAATGCAAGTTGAATATAGTGGGCTTTGAAATAACCTTTTATATATTGTTCAAGCTCCATGGAAATGCCATAGTATTGTCTATTATGAAATTGGAATCCTTCAATCTTAAAACAAAAAATATGAATAGACAGTTTGATATAATCAATAGCTCAATTATTTTTCATCCAAATATGCAACTCATATATATTTTTGAAATCCGAAAAAAGACTATCAACATGTCAGATAATATATAGGGTGCTCCATTGAAAAAGTCAAAGTTAATGTCCTTTCCGGAAAAACGAATGACCCTGTATATGAAGCAACTTTACAAAATGAATGTTTGGGTCGTTTCAAACAACTTTTTATTTCAACATTTTTTCACATCTCTGAAAACAAACGAGTTAAGGGAGGGGGGGGGGGTCCATTTTAAGAGGCGCACCCTGTACCATATTCAACTGGTTGATGATGACTTAGTATAAGCCCAAAGCATGTTCCTTCACTGCTGATCTTTGATCAGTTGATTGAAAATTGTGCATGTGACTGCATGACACAAAGATTCTTCAAAGCAGCCATATTTATTTATACTTCCAGGTGACCAAAGATATAATATCAAGCTTGAGACTAGCAAAAGGATACAAATTATTCAAAACGTCCTGCTTCCGCTCCAACCTATTCTATGATGTATACTTCCCAAATATGCTGGAAGACTCCTTTAAACACCTTAAAGACTTCATATCTGAGTGCCTTGACGAGCAAAGTGAAAAAGACCTGCCCAAAGACCAGAAATCCTGTGGAATCGTGTATTGCAGGTAGGGTTGGGAACAAACTTGAATTCCATAAATTTAATTGCAGTTTTCAGAAATTTTCAAGGGGTAATTAAAAATATTTGAGAAATTCATGAAAATTTTCATTGAAACTTTCTTCATTATGTTCTTCTAATAATAACTACCTAAATCAAATGTACAAATAAATTCTAAAATTCGTTGATTTTCAAACACAATCTGGTGTGAATTTTCTTACCGAATACCACGCGAGGTCAAATTACTTTCCGGGAAAAAATTCCGGAAATTTTGACCTCATGTGGTATTACTAGTGAAAATTTCAAGTGTCCCAACCCTAATCGCAGGACCAGAGAGCAAACGGAAGTGCTGATGGAGAGATTGAACAAAATGGGCGTCAGAACTTTGTGCTACCATGCCGGTCTGAAGACCATGGAAAGGACCACTTTCCAGGAGAAGTGGCAAAACGGCGATGTACCGGTGATATGCGCGACTATCAGCTTCGGAATGGGTGTTGATAAAGCCACAGTCAGGTAAGAATGTGATAACCATGAAGTTGTCCTCACAATAAGTTGAGGAAAGCGAGGAAATATCTGGGGAAGTATCATGAGAAAAAAAAAACTATTTATTGCCCAAACAGGTACAAGGCCCACTTACAGGACGGCTTTTTACAATGTGTACATGTAACTGTGAACAAGAACTAAAATTTAAGAACTAAAAACTAGATAGAGTATTTTGATAAAGTAGTAATTGTAGAAAGTGATCTTAATTGTAAAGAGTAATGACAATAAAAAAAAACAATTCATGAAAGGAAACATACTTACATGTATTCTTGCAAATAATATATGTGAAAGACAGAATCGAAAAAATAAAATAATTGAATTAAGATGCGGACCCGTAGATAAATAACCTGTTATTGTATTTCACCTGGAACTCTTGGACCCCATTAGAACAACGTAGAAAAGTCGGAGACCTCACACTTGTTTATAGATGCCTCCACGGGAAATGTTCCTCAAAAATCTCTGCTATGTTTCCATCACTAGCAATACCAGACAGACAAACTCGACAAGCCCAGTCAGCACATCCCTTTTTCGTTG